GCAGACTGGACAAAGTGGGAAACGACTAGCTTAGTGAAGATAACAAACCTGCTGTGTTTACACTTTGGTTCAAAATGAATGAATAAATGAGAGACATGTTAATAAATAAGCTTTAACTTAAGCTAGCAGTTTCCCTTTGTGATTTGGTTTTTTTGCTAGGCTAATCTAAAGTAGTCCCCTATTAAATTGTATTAGTTCATCTCTTTGTTTTGGCAAGTTGATAATAATCTCTCTCCCTGGATAGTTAACAATGAAATCTGCTGTTTTGTGGCCAACAAGCTTGTCTTGCCTGCTTCAAGCCTCAAAGCCACCAGTAATACCAGCAGCCGCACTCCCACTGGGAGATCCCGAATCACTAAAAGGAGAAGGAGCAAAGAAACAAGAAATTAAGCCTCCCAGCAGCAGCACTACCTGAGCTCCTTACATCAAAGGCTGAAACCAGCCGGGAAGGAAAAACCTCCCTGCTCAGCGCTGCCAGGTTCAGCGCTTTAACCCACATGTTGACGCTGGCAGCAGAGAGACGGAGGGCGATAGGTGGCTGCAGGGAAGGACGTGTGGCTGCAATTCATATGTGCATATGCACGGAAACAGACCAAAAGCAGAAAGGTTATGTCTGTCTGGGTGATCTTGTGGAACTCTTACTGTAGGTGAAAGTGTCCTTCTAGATGTTTTCTGTACTAAACCGGCAACACAGCTTTGTGTGTGTGTGTGTGTGTGTGTGTGTGTGTGTGTGTGTGTGTGTGTGTGCGCTCAGAGAGGAACCCTCATTAGGCTGTTAAGACTGAGGAAGAGCCACAGACACAACACAACCACACAGTCAGACGGGTGCTGCCGAGGGAAACAGTAACGGCAAAATGAAAGCACACAAACTTCCACGACACCTGTGTAGACGAGAGATTATGAGATTGTAATCAGCGCGCCTCACATCAGAAGACACGGTGTGGAAAAGAAAAGTTGTTCTACAAAAATGCACGTTTACCAAATTCAGGCTTTTTGACAGATTTGTTTCGTGCAACTTGTTTTTCTGCCACAGAACGATGAAAACTACTGTCATGGTTTTAACACCAGCCTTTATCAACACTCACACAGGCTTCCCATGTCTGATCTAAGAAATACATAAAACTAAATTAACGCTAATAGCTGGGAAATGAAACCATAAAAACAAACAATCACTAAAAAACACATTGAAGGGCTTTATTGACTGGTGGAGGTTCCGCTATAAAATGTATAAATTCTGCAGCTCCGAGGCCTGGAGCTGAGTGTGTGTGTTCAAGGCAGTGAGTCAGTTTATAAGCTTAATAAGTGCAGCTTTCTGCGCTCCCATTAGCTCATTAACGTTACAGCACATTCAAAGCATTGGCAGAAAGGAGGAGGAGGGTGGTGGTGGTGCTGGTGGGAGGGGGGAGAAAAATCCCTCTTAACCTCTTTTGCTCCCTCAAAGGAAGTGCATGGAAAAAAGAAAAGAGAGAATGAAATAAAAAGCTCCTTCATCTCTGTAGGCAACCCAAATCCTCGCCGAGGCTGCGGCCAAAAGCCAAATTAAAAAGACCGGAGTGTTGGGATGTTTGACAGGCGCAGCCCTGAGCTGAGCGGCCGGAGGTTGTCCCGCCATTTGTCCCCGTGCTCTCCGGCTTTTAGGGGCTTCACACCAATTAAAAGAAAAACGAGCGCACACACGTTTTTCGTGTCTCCGTGAGGACTTTCGCTGACGCATTCCCAGCTAATTCCAACCTTAACCCAGAACCGAGTCACAGATATCAATCAGCCCTTTGAAGGGTGTGAAGCTTTTGTTTGAGCTCAAGCAGCTTTCGTTTTAATTTCGGCGGCTCAGGAGTTATTGTTGGCGTCAAGGTTTATAAAGCGCTTGTAAAATATGTAATGGCCAAAATAAAAGCCACAATTCATCGGCCGTGCAACACGACAACCATACTGCAACACAAAGTAAACCTCAGATACAGATTTTGATAAGAAAACATCGTCATAGACCCACCAGCAGAGTCCAAAATCAACTGGACAGTAGCACCGTCGCTGCCAGAGCGCAGCGTGATCTGTGAATCACCCTGGAAGAAATATCCAGTGAGCAGCAGCTCTGGCTGAGAATCCACACATCACAACCAGGCTGCAGGAGAGCATCTCTCATCACACGGCAAACCTTTAAGCAGATGTGCCACAGCAGCAGAAGACCACACTGGGTCCTGTCAGCTAGGAACAGGAATCTGAGCTACAGATCACAAAAACGCTTCCTGATCTGATGAGTCCTGGTTTCCGTAGCAACATTTGGATGGTGGGGTCAGAATCTGATTAGAAAGATTGGATCCATCCTGCCTGTTTTATTGGTTCATGTTGTTGGTGATGATGTAATAATTGGGGGGGGTTAAGCATCATTTACACACTACCTGACTACTGTTGGTAACCGTGTCTGTCCCTTTATGAACTCACCGGATGTCATTCCAACAGATTAGTAGAGAACAGGAGATTTGCATCTGTGTGATGCTGTTGAGTCAACTGGTCCAAAATCTCTGAGAAATGTTTCCAGCACCTTGTTGAACCTTTGATTCAAAGCATTTCCAGGGGCACAAAGGGTCCAACACGTTACCAGCGACTAACAAAATAAAATAACGAGTAATCAAATGACTGGAGAGTTTATATCAGAAAGTAACTGCAGGGTTAGAAGCTGTGCTCACTGTCGTTTGCTTTTCTCCTTCTGCTGGAAGCTGACTGGAAACAGTCATTTGAAATGAAGTCTGAAATGCGTGACCCATTAACACCCATGAAGAAAGTAGCTTTTGCTGGTAGCGCGTGGCCATTAAATCACTCAGTGCTTCTGCAGCCGTCCATGCTTATCTGCACTTGTAAATGAACTTTGTAGAGTTTGAAAGGGAAGTATATAAATTAGGGTGAAAAGTGAAGCAGTTGTGTTTTGTAGCTTTTTTTTAAAGGATTGCTGGTTAAGCCCCTGTAATGAGCCCCCTATTAGGAAATGGCACTGAATTAAGCTAAATTTACTAAACATGTGTGAGTGCAGGCAGTCCAACACTATTTTCAGCTCATCCCTGTGGGAAAAGACTCCAGGAAGGAACCCATTCAGCTTTCCTGGGTCAGAGGTTAAAAGCGCCCTCAACAGGCGTCACAGGAGATACATTTTCTGACTTTAGGAACTTCACACGTCTCGGTCCCTGCTGAACTTTGGTTTTCTACGTAGCCTCCGGTCTCGTTCGGCCGTCGGGGTAAAACCATAATGAACATGGGAAACCGCACCAAGGATGAAGTCATGCGCTGCCGTTTCGGTTCAAAAGCGGCACCGCGCGCTCGCAGGGCTGATCACACGGCCAAGAGCATTAGCGAAGGCCTGAGAATGGAGGCGCAAACAGCTGTGATTAAACTGAGGGATGACGATCCTCTGCTGAGACACAGCCTCATTTGGTCTCCCGGTGGCCTGCATACCTTGGCTTCCAGCAGGCGAAATGCCCCCCAGGGATCCTAAAATACACAGCAGGCCAGGTCTCAGCAGCAGGCTGGGAGGGGAAGAGAGGAAGGGCTAGGGGCAGAGCTGCAGCCTCACAGACCTCAAACAAGAGTCAGGCTGACAAGAGCAACTTTAACCTGTGAGAAACGTTCAGACTTGAAGCTGCTGTCAGGCTAAATTAAGGAGGAACAAAAGCTGACAACGCACAGACTCACACACGATCGCCGTGTGCTTTCCCCTCTGCAGCCAGCGGCTCTTATTTAGCTTTACTTCATCCTTGGGGCACTCCTAAATGAGTAGCAGGTTTAATTTGGGAATCACCGCTCGCTCGGGCCACCGGGGTCACAGAGGTCATTGTGTGCGTTGATACTCAAAGCTCGTGACTGACGCACACTGGCCGTGTGATGCCACTGCATTAGTTAGTTCCACACTGACAAGAGGACGCCTTCAGGCATCTATCAGGAAAACGCACTCTGGACTCACAATGACAACGACGGAGGGAAATTAAATTATTTTATTTCTCTCTTGAATCAGATGACATTTTAGTGATACTACGCACAACACGTGAGCCGTCAAACAGGACGTGAACAAACAGGATCACCTGACGCAGGAAACCGACTATAACAGGGCTGACGACGCTGGCTCTGACCCTTAACGACGTTTAAACATTTAAGTGATAAACACCAGTGCGAGTTTACCGAGCTGCTTTCAGTGAACAGCTGGTGATGCTTTACTTTAAAGAACATCACCCTGTGGTTTGTGATTTTGGTCATCACTACGTTGTTGTTTTTTGGACTGGAAGCCACCACATGTGAGAGCAAACTTCACTGGAGGTGAATCACAGACACAGGCCTGCAGCTGCCTGTCACACATTCACCTCGGCCCGACTTTAAGCCTCAGCAAAGTTTAAACAAGTGAGGTAAGAAAGAAAAGAAACAGTAAAGTTGTCAAAAAGGTCAAGATGAAACTGGTTCTAGTAGCAGGCTGTTAATGTGCTTACTTCTTCTGTAATGCTGCATTTTAACATGCGAGTCTGTGGGTAAATGACTCAATCTGGGAGTGGGCCTCAAGTGGCCACTGGTGGAACTGCAGTTTTTGACTCTTCTTCATTTTTCAGCCCCTCAGGTCAGAACTGGATGTGTAGAAACATGACCAAGCATAAAAATGTACAGCATGTTTCTATCTGCTTACAGCCACATCACAGTATGATGTTTAAATCAAATATACTAAACTGGGGATTTAAGGTAAAGCATTAGCAAACGATGGCACATTTGTTACAAACTGAGTTACAGCTGACGGCGACGGTCCATGAACGCCTTTCAGTGTGCACGGGTACTAAACAGATGCTCCACCAAAGACGAGTGTGTGTGTTTGTAGTTTCACTTGGTGACAAAGTGCATACATGTGTTGATTGGCTCGCAGCCGTCCTGATGAGGGTTAAAATAGTTAAGGCTCAGGTCCTGCCGTCCGTGCATTAAGACTTTGCTGTTGCTCCCAGCAGATTCTGCTGTGTCAAAAAAGAGAATTCTGGCGCTTCGAGTCGTGATTTAAACTTTAATGTGGAGGAGAAAGATTTCAGTTTCAAAAGTGTAAAGTGACAGTCCGTGAAACTGATTTGTTTTGGTGCTGACAGCTACTGATCTGTATCGCTGTAGCTCTACGGAGGCCTGTGAAGACTCTGCTCTTGTAAACACGGGAGCGTGTCGGGACTAAGAGTTCAGAGGATGATCACGGTCATCATCTGAGTCTGGGGAAGATTCTGATGAAGAGGATCATGCTGATAAAGGTGAAGGAGACTAGGATGAGCATCAGCCACAGCAGCCAGTTCACAGACTTCTTCGTGTGCTGCTCCAACCGCTCGGACTCCGTCTTCAGCTTCTCGAAGTTCAGGTCCGCCTGACGCATGGACTGGCTCAGAGTCTGGAGGCAGAGGGAGACGTCGCCGATATAAACATCAAAACCACAGACAAACAAGCCCGCTGACGGGAACACTCGGAGTCTTTATGCACAGTGTGGCTCCAAAGGCTGTTAGCTGGCCTATACTGCCCCCTTGTGGCCAGAATCAGTTAAACTCCTCCAAGTTTCTCAAAGAGAGGCAGAAATAGCTCTAGAGGTTGCACAACTTTTTTTCTTTCTAACAAATAAATAAATAAATCTTAAAATAAATGATTTCAAAGATTTAATAAATGTAAATACTGCCAGCACGAGAGGAGGGAAAAAAGGATCTTCAATAAAAATATCACAATTAGCACTTTGTCACCTTTTTATGATGCCCTGAATTCGTTAAGTGTGGGCTTCACTCATGGAAAACTATTTTTTATTTAAGCTGGTTCGAGTTTTCCCGATAAGCAGTTAAAACAAGTTTTGTTATGGACCAAGTTTTTTCCAAGTTTCCATCATAAGACTCAGATTTGGGCCGGTTGGCGGCCACATCAGGTCCTTCAGCACAAATCTTCTTATTAACGTAACTAAAGGTTTGGAAAGGGCAGCTTTTAGCTTTGATCCCCAGCTGCTGAGAGACTCTGCAGGAGGACCTGGGAGCAGCTGGAAGCCCGCCTCTTTCTTCTTCAGGCTCTGGGCGTGCTCACATGAAACATCATGTGACTCCTCTGCACAAAACGATCCCTACGAGTGTTCCCTACTGCAATCAGGGAAGCTAGCGGATAATTATGATAAAAATCTATGTCAAACATTAAAAAAGCCCAAAAGCTGTTCTTCTTAATAGATTTATTCTGAGTGCGCTTTTAGTGCTGCTGCTTATTTGTAGCATTACAGCTTAAACGTTGCTCCTGTCCTGCAACCTGATGCAGCAGCTGCAATTCCAGCAGCGTAAAAGAGATTCGGCAGCAGATTAGAGACAGTTTTTGGCTTAACAGCCTACCTACACAAAATGTATATGGGTACAGCAGAGGGTCTATACTGCACTAAATGGCTGTTGTAAATAATAAGTCAGTGGAAATCTGGCCCTTCCAGCATCCTCTGCTCCCACAGAGATTTTCATCACAAGTGATCTCTGTGATTTAGTAAAAAGAAAGGTCCTTCTGACCATTAACCTCCCCTCATAGCACACCCCTCTGCTTGGGCTTTGTATACTCTGACTTCACTTTATTTGGATTTAATTTCTCACTTTCAGCTTGTATTTATATTGGGCAGGATGCATGATCACCCTGAAACAACTTGAGGAAAGTGGCCAAACCTCAGCTAATCATTCCCATATCTTTTACCGACCCAACCATCATAAAAGTTTGTTCCCAGAGTCAGAAGTGAATCAGGAAGAAAGGCTTTGAATGTGTCGCCCCCGTGTCCTACAGAAATCGACAGAAGCAGCTCAAAGTGTCAGAACTGGTCACGATCGGCGAGTTTAATATATATTTAAATGAGAACTGTGCTGGTTGTGCTTCACCTCGACACAGCTAAAGTTCCAGAATCATCTGCACATTCAGGACGCTTCTCTTTAGCCCACTGTGTGTTTTCTGCTGTTAAGTGTGGGAGCTGACTTCCTGTTTAGCTTCAGCGCCACACTGACTCACTGTTCTGACCATATGTTCCCACAGTCTTCCCATTTTGCTCCTGAGTTTAGACACAGCTGACTGGGAGCAAACAACATGTGTTGCATTTCCTTCTTGGAGGACTCGCACTGTTTCGGCTGAACGCGCTGCAGCTTGGGGGCGTGCTTTGGCTCGATTAGCCAGGTGCAAGAGCTCGTTGTGGTCTGAAAAGCGTCTATTTGAACTGCTAACTATTTTGTGCGTTTAGATTTGTGCATGCATTCGGTTTAGAGATGCAAATTAAAAGGTGAATTTTTTCAACTTCTTCATCTGGAAACAAATCTGCCATTAAACTTTTTTTTTCCACAAACACAGACTCAAAAACAGTTTTGCATCAAATCTGTGAGTTATTTATTCCATATATCTGTCCGCCTACCTGGTTGTCTTGTTTGATGATGTTCTGCGCAGCCAAAGTGTTGTTCTTCAGATTTCTGGCCAGGTTCAGCATGTCTTCAGCCAGCTTCTCCTGCAGGTTGTGGTGATGCTGCAGGACGGCGTCCAGCTCTGCGGCAGACTGACGCTCGTCCAGAGGAAAACATCTGCGCAGAGGTGACACAGGTTGAAGCTTTTACACCCAAAAACAAGTCCAACACACGAGATCATTTAGAAAAGCTCGACTTTACCTTCGGTTCCTCAAGTCTCCGTCTAACGTGAGAAGAGAAAAGAAAAATAAAATCACCTCGTCTTAAAAACAAACAAATACAATCCTATCGAAATATAATTCGTCATATTTCCATCTGATGTTATTAAATCCAAGAGGCAGAGTACTTCGTACCTTTTCCCGACGACCCCTGCAGTGACAGAAAAGAACATTTATGAGTTCAAGACAAAATGTGGGAAACGTTTTATTTAGATGTTTCTACCACACTGTGGTAGTTTAGGAGGCGCGCTGCAGTTCGTACAAAGAGGTCACGTCTGCAGTACGGTCAGAGCGTCCTACCGTGCCGAGCAGCTCGTCCCTCATCTCTCCCGTGCACCGCGCCTTCGTCTGCGTGTGGACTTTTTTAGTGACAGACATCCTCTCGTTGGCCATCGTGGCCGTCCGACCGGGGGCGAGGAACTGATTAGCTAAAGCTTTTTCTGTTGGTGAAGACTGAAGCAGAGCGGGAGGGACAGGAAGTCAGAAAACTCAAAGCTTCACTTCAAAATAAAGAAAACACAGTTGTGTCGTGTTAAAAACAGGAAAAACTGACCAGCTTCTCTGCTTCTAGAGTTCCTTTCAGAAAGTTGACTTTTCTCGTGTATTCAGCCAGGACCTCTGGTGTTGGTTTGCTGCAAGGACACACAACCGCTTACTGACTGACAAAGCTTTGTGTTATTAAGCTGCAACGAGCAGATCAAACATCTGCGCTCATAACACGTAAGCCTGATGTGACCTGTTAGAAGATATACTCTTTTCCCTAAACACCAAACATGTTTAAAATAGGTTCTTAGTAATATATGTACATTTCAGGCAAAAAAAGAAAACACTGAGACAGAAAAGTGGAGGCTGGTGTTACCTCGGGCTTTTCCTCAGAGCCACCAGCATCTCTTCCAGGGCGCCCACATACTGGAGGAGACCAAACAGAAACAGTGATGCTGCTCACATGCTCTCGTTCATCTCATCAATCACATCTTTATTTCAAAGTAACAAATGTTAAATAAACATCCGTATATCATAGACTACACTGGGCCAAATAACAGAGTTTAACTGACGAGGTTCTTGTAAAAGTAGGCTGAGTTTCTTACAGAGGGTGGGTCACAAAGCCACACAGAAGCCACTGAGACCAGCTTAGGATGACTGATGACAGCACACACTCACTGCTGCAGGTGGACACTAGTGTAGTCTTCATCGACACACACACACACAGATAATGCGGAAAAACAGCTGTGACGCTGCAGAGACGGTTCCTGAGAAAAGCAAATGACTCTGTGCAGTAAACAGCATCAAGTGGAGGCTCCTTAAATTTATCTTTAATAGTTCCTGTTTGTAGCAAAGCATCGTTGAGGTTACACTAACACACACACTGAACACACCTTCAGTTTGCAGCTGTTAGAAAATAAGTCACGGCAAAATGCACCGTATCTCAAACTCCCACCAACGCCCAGTGGTTGCTGATCTCCACCAACCAGTCAAGCTGCAGTTTCCAGCCACGCTGGCACGGATGAGTCAAATTGTTGATTTGGTGACGTCTGCTGTCACAGCGAGTCGGCTCACTGAGAGAAACAAAACAGACTCTCACCACATCAGACCAAGTGTGCATGTGGTCTAATGACAAATGTAATAAGGAGGAAGCAGTGCAAGATGAACGTGTTTGACAGCTGTCAGAGTCGCACTGACTGTTCTTACTTTAGTTACTCTAACCTTTCATTTACTCAAAGTAAAAACCATGCAGCTGATTGGTTCATCCTGCTGGTTCAGATTAAAGGGTCTTCACTGCTCAGCTGTAGGGAGCCACTCGGTACAGCGTGACACGAGGTCACTGAGAAGAGGCGTCTTGATTTATTCAGTCCCACGTGGCCTGGCGACGCCTGTTGTTACTCGTTTGCGTTAAAGCTACAGGTCACACGTTTAACTCAGCGACTGTTCCTTTAAAGCTGCTTATTGTTCATTCTTGGGTGTAAAAAATATTAAACCTCATAAACTAAATTAAAGCTTTCAGTGGAATTTAAACAGGCAAATGCTCTGAATTTAACCAAACACGTGTGTGTCAAAGATAAAAGCTGTACTTTGTTGTAAGACCACTTTGTGCCACAAGAGGGTGCAGTGCAGTGTGTCACCGTAACCTGTGTATTTTAAATCAGCGGTCCCCAACCCCCGGGCCTCGGACCGGTACCGGTCCGTGAGTTGTTTGGTACCGGGCCGCGAGAGTTGAGGCTCGGGTGTGAAATGTGTGGTTTTCAGGGTTTTTATCGTTAACTTGGTAACATGTGTGTTATGAATAAATCTTCTTTTTTTCGGTACCGGTACTAGTTTTATTTTGTTGTATTTATCCGCGACACCTTAAAGGCCGGTCCGTGAAAATATTGTCGGGCATAAACCGGTCCATGGCGCAGAAAAGGTTGGAGAGCGCTGTTTTATATGACAGCCTGGCAAAAGACGAGATCTCACGAGGCTCTTTACTAAAAAGAAAACTGTTAGCAGTGCTGCCCCCTGGTGGTCAAAGTTTTAGTAACAAAAGTTAGCCGTAATTTCCCATCACCGAACAACCACAATCGTCCATGAAAACGGTGGTACAAATCTCTACGTTACAGAAGTGTCACATCACGACATCGATCATATAGCAACTCTATGCATTTGTGTTTCCTAGCACATAAGCCGCACAGAGAGCCGCGTAATTAATTGAAAATAAATCAAAACTGATGTTCTGAACTCTCAACAGATGTGATCTGGTCCATGTCATCTTTGTTTTAAATTTAAATTCTGTTAACATTTCACCCAATGAGAGTTCACACAGTAACGTGTCTCCATGACATGAAGCATGATGTAAAAAGACCTCAACACAGTTTCAGCGTCCAAACGTAATACCACCAATCTGTTTCAACAGCTGGAGCACAATCACAATATCGCAGCTTTACAGACGAGCGCATTTACAGGTCAAACCCTGCCAGCAAACTGTCGGGGCAAGAACAAGTACATAAAGGAAACTCCTTCGTTAATGTTAATCGAGGTAAAATGTTCAATTGTTTTGATTTGAGGCCCCGCCCAAGCATATCTGAGTACGAGAGCAGTGTGAGGACTTAATGAGGGAGCTACTCAACAACCTCACTGCTCTGCAAAACATGAAAGAGCTGTTCCTGATGAAAATGGCAACAACAAACATGTTTCACCACTAGAGGCACAAATACTCCGAAGGAGGAGACGCCAGGAGCTGGTGTCTCGGGTTGGAATCCAGTGTGGGGCCTTTCTGTGTGGAGTTTACACAGCACAAAGACATGCATCTGTGGTTAACTGGTGATTCTAAATCGGGCCAGTCCCCTCACCCATCGGCTCTAAGATCTCCACTGCCTACTGGTTAAGACTCAGAGATCAGATTAGTTAGACAGGGAGTCGATCCAGACTTCCTGTACTGGGGGTGCTGGTTCCACAGATCAACAGTGTGGGTGTGAGTGGTTATCTGTCTCTCCATGTAAGCCCTGTGACACACCTCACCTGGCCAGGATGTACCCTCCCCCTCATCCTTTGACAGTTAAGGTTAGCCCCCCCCCTGAGGAATATTGATGGATTGTGCAGATACTTAAGAATTACAAGTTTAAGTTACTTTAGTTTAACAAAAACTAAAACTACACTTCCAGAGAAAACTCGACCCAGAGTATCTCACTGCAACTCTGCGGCTTTCAAAGGAGTGAGGAGGAAAGGAGGTCATTTATGTGAAAAGGGAAAGTCCATCTCTGAACCGAGGAGGGGGCCTAAGAGCACGTCTTTCACTTTCTTACAATGCTGTGATTGCAGCCATTCCCCTGTGACCTCTGAATGGTTCTCATGCCCACCATCAATGAGTATGACAACAGTATATTGAAGATCATGAAACTTGGCTGGTGCTAGTTTTGGCTGATATGCAAATGTTTAAAAGGCTGGGAAACTGCAGTGAGCTGAGAATGAGGAAGTCACAGGTGAGTGATGAAATGTTTCTCCCACTGAAAACAAACAGATGAACAGAAACAGCTTTCTGGGACTAGCTAGAGCACCTGTGTGCTTACATTTGACTTTTGCTGTGTCACTGCTGCTTAGTCACACTTTAAGGTCACCAGCTCACTGGAAAGGAAGAAAGGATGGCTGGATGGATGTCCTTCACCCAACATGATGCGCACTATTTTCCATAGCATAATAAATATTGTCGCAAATATTTCTCTGAAATATCGCGATGTAATTTAAAGGCTGCATCACACCCCGCTGGTGCGCATAAGCTGAGTCTGCAGCTCCTGACTAGGTTAACTGTCTATGAGGCAGCAGGGGTTGGACGGCTGGAGGAAAACTCGGGTTGCAGCTGATTCTCAGCCGATCGTTCTTATTAAAAAAAGAAGAAGCTATAAATAAATACAGTTACTGTTAAAGATATGAACACATGGAGGATCTTCTGTGAGGAACATGGGTGAAAGGAAAGCTTCGGAAACGAGATTAAACACTAAAATACAGCAAATCTGCTGCAGCAGACTCGCCGTGTGTCGCTACAGTGACATCTCGGCTGTGATTGAACCTGTGCCTGAGGGGCGAACAGCTTAAATGTGCCTCCCGACAAAAACAGAAAGCGGTTTGCGCGACGACGTGGCTAACAGCGGCTCACAACAACAACAGTCAGGCTAACGTCATCACGACACGGTCGTTACAGCCGCTCCGAGCCGTGCCGGGTTACCTTTTCAAGCCTCCACTCCGTCTCTCCCCGTTTCTCCGACGCCAAAGACTCACAGCGAGACAATAACCTGATGAAATTGATTTCTAGTCTGGAAGCCATGTTTGGTTTGAAGCCGACACAGCGGCGCAGCAGTTTGACGTCAAGCCGAGCGGCGCAGACGTTATGGGCGGAGCGTCGCCCCGCCTCTTTTTTTTTTACGTTGTCAATGAAAATTTTACTTTAAAAAGCTAGACTTATAATAATAATAATAATAATAATGATAATAATAATACATTAATTATTATATTAATTATATTAATAATAATAATCTCGCCAGATCCCAAAGTTTTATCTTAATCGATTTCTCTCTATTCGAGAGAAATAAAATAATAAAATAAATATAAAACACATCATTCTGGCACGAAACCCACAACATGTCTGTATGTAGTACTTTTTTATTTATGTATGTTTTGCATGTGTTTATATACAGTTCTTAAAAAAAAAAATACTGCCATAAAAACACTAAAAGAAAACAAAGTTAAAAATATTGTTTGTAAATTTTATTTATTGGGCAAATAAAACACTAAATTCACTTTTTTATACCCCAATTTGAGGCGCCATACTGGACTTCTCTGAGAGTCAAGCACAACGATTTTTTATTTTACGCAATGCCAGTAAATAATAATAATAATAATAATAATAATAATAATAATAATGTGCTTTCCTATTTTTTCTGCTTTTTTGTAAAAGATTACATAAATAAAATTAAAAATATGAGTTTTGACTGACAAGCTTGGACAAACTGGCGTCTCAGTCGTTACAGAAACATAGAAAATGAGTTTGATATTTTCAGTACTGTTAATTTAGGGTAATTGTGGCATAAACATTACACTGGGTGGTGGCCTGATAGTTTATCAAGTATCCATGTATGCCTATATTGACTGTATTGATTATGTTTTGTTTTATAATACATGGGTTATTTTGCTGTACAGTATCTATGACACTCAAACTGCTTTACATGTAAACAGATGGAATGAAAGATTAGCACTGGATATAAAGTCATGTTGTGCTTATCACTACACTACAGTGCGTAAAGTATAATAGCCCATTTAGTGCACGGTCTGCATCACTTTATTTAGTGGCGCAGCAAAGATGAGTCAGGACACTCAGTGTTTAGACCTTTTCTTATGGTCTACATCATCTACAGCTCCTAGAATCATAACTATTTTTGCAACGTGGAGCACCGATTGGAGACAGTTGACTGAATCTTCTCACCAAAGTTTTAATCTGTAGCCGGAAACTTCTGCACCACCAACGGGCTGAAGTTGGAGCTGCGTTTTCCAGATATGAGGCATCTGTGGATCAAGTCCAAGAAGGAGGTCATCCGGCAGGTCACATGACACAGCCTGTTCAAATCTTCAGAGCAACAATTTTAGTCTTCATGTCAAAAAATAGTCCCAGTCTGTTCAGGACTTTGTTTAATGATTTGTTAACCTAGTTCAAAGACCCCACATACCTATCACTGCAGCGCCCTTCCACCTGAGCATGCCCAGCTGTGTGGGTGGTGCAGAGAGGAGAACAATCATCTATCAGACTCACGTATCCCAACCCGCATGGAGGTACGTGAAACGACATAAACTTTAATTTGCTTAACAGTGGATGGTGTGCGAGGCTGGTAAATCACCCATGACCAGGAAGGAAAATGCTGACCACAGCTCAGGGCGTAAAAACGGCAAAAATAAATGTAACCACTTCAAGGGGCGCTTGCGTGACACTGTTAAAACTCATGTTGGTGTGATTTCCTGTGCGCGGCTCTGGTGCAGCTTTATGAAGTCTGAAGAAATGACTCGTATGACATCACTTGAAAAACAGATCTTGCATTGTGGCAGCTGATCCTGAACTGTGGAGCCTTTGTGTGCTCAAGGTGCATTAATTCCACTCCACACAAAATCAAAAGCAGCGAGGTCTGTGCAGACGGCTGCAGTTTACTGTGACAAAGAAGCGGCTCATTTAAGAAGACCTGACCCGAGTTGTAATGACTGTTTAAGGCAGGAATGGCTCCGTGAGACTGTAAAATTATACCCACCTCTGGGAGTTTTAGCCATCTTAAAGCAAAATGTTAAACATACACACTCCGGCCACTTTATTAGGTACACCTGTTCACCTAGTGGTTAATGCAAATATCAAATCAGCCGAGTCAGTGCTTTTAAACACGCAGATATAATCAAGACGACCTGCTGAAGCTCAAAATGAGCATCAAAATGAGCAAGAAAGGGGATTTAAGTGATACTGAACAGGGCTGGTTGTTGGTGTGAGGATTTCAAAGACTGCTGATCTGCTGGGATTGTCCCACACAACCATCTCTGGGGATTACAGATAAAGATCCAAATAAGAGAAAATATCCAGCAAGCGGCAGTTTGATGCTAAAGATCAGAGGCTGGCCCGACGGCTTGGAGCTTATAGGAGTGCAGAAGATCATCTCTGAACATG